AATGTTTTTAAACGCTATGATATTAAACATATATATAACAGGTCAAACAACCAAACTAAAATAATGTTTGCATTGCATCATCTAAAAGTAGAAAAAAAAAACTGGATTCAATATCTTAAAAGAATAAACTGCATTGAATTTTACAAGCATTATGAAGTCACACGATGTAGCACTAGTGGTATTGTGCAAACATATAAAGATTTATAAAAATTATTTTACAGTATGTAATAGCTGTATTTACAGTAAATTGCAGGCCTATACAAAATATTATAAATACTGTATATTAAATAACATCAAGGTACTGTAAGCGATATTGATAAGGGTAGATGAAAGAAAAAGTTTTATATATTTTTATATACTATTACAGTACAGTATTAGATTTTACTTTACACGAATTTAATAGATGTGAAAGACTCAAAAAAGAAATTCCAAAACATAAGGTGGATAACCCTGCACTGTATGGACCGTTCATAATTATCAACAAATTTATAAACAGTATGCTAAGGGAGAAAAGGCCTGGTACTAAATACAAAATTAAGTGAAAGGAATTTACAAATGCTTAAAATATTGATTGAAATCGGTTTTCTAAATTTAATAATATGCCAATATGGATATATTTAAACCTAATTATGTACCCATTGAAAAAAAGGCCATAGAGAACAGCGTATTGCAAAATCAACATTTTCCATGTACAATATACTCAGGTACTAAACCTACTAGAGCTACAAAATAAAATACAGTACTGAAATAATTGCTACTCACATAAATAATAAAATATTGATTTTATGTATATACAATAATATGGCAAGACAAAAATATTTAAACGAATGTTATGTTTTAAGAAAATATGACAAGGGTAGATTTAATTATTGTTGTGGAAGTAGCATTTCTATTTAATAAAGCCAAGCTCTAGAGGACATAAATTTGTTGATATGTTGTAGAACTAATCTTTCTAAGCCTCAAAGTATACTTGACAAAAAACTTGGAAGCAGTTAATGAGAGATCTATACAGATTTTTGAATATTTAAAAACTGGGTGAAAAGTAAGGAGGGAAAAAGGGTGGTGATGTCTCTTTTCCCCCAGTTTTTAAATATTAAAGAATCTGAATCTCATTAACCGCTTCAAAGTTTTTCATCAAATATTCTTTTTGGGTTTGAAAAAAATCAGTTCTACAACATAAAAAAAATAAAAAAATAAAAAAAAACAACTTTTCTGAGCCTAACTTTAAGACAGCCTACACACTGAAACATCAAATATAATAAAATACTACCACAAATCTAATATCACTAGAACAAAGTTTGGAATTAAAGTTAAATAACAAAA